GAACACACATTTAGAAGTCATACGTGTAGCTCCTGACCACGAAATGAAAAGTGATGGGGCAAGGAGGAAGTTTTTGTGGACAAACAGACAAAGAGACAGACAGGCGAACGAACGGACACGACAAAAACTATATTCCCCGAAACTTCGTTTACGGGGGCATAAAAAGTAAGTTTCAGCATACAATTTTTTTATTATAATGGAGCACAAAAATAATAGTACGATAAAAATATAGGGAAGGCGGTGTCTTGACGGTATCATGATATCACTTTTAGCTCACCTGAGCTAAAAGCTCAAGTGAGCTTTTGTGATCAGCCGTTGTCCATCTTCTGCCGTACGTACGTCCCTATATCCGTCCGTCTGTAAACTTTAAAGGTTTTCAACTTCTACTCAGGATCCACTTGGCCAATTCTAACCATGCAAACCTGATACTAAGCGTCCTTAAGGTGAAGGGAAGTATAAATTGATAAATTAAAGGGCTCTTACAAGGGGGTTAATAAAAAAGACATACATAGGATGGGGTCATTAAAAATATTTTCTAAAGCACTGGTTCACAAAAGATGAAACTTTTTGTCGAAACATTCCAGGATATTGTAAATTCTAAATTGTTTATATCATGGCCCATTGGGTGAAGGGCTAGGCCACAATAGGGAATCCAATTATAAATTGTTATACATTTGTATATTGGCAAAGTCTTTAAAATATCTTCTCAAGGAGCACTGGACCACAACAACTGCAAATATGTGGAAGCATCCTGGGGTAGTCAAAATTCCTCATTCTCCATATTATGACTCGTATGGGGTCAAACTCCAAAAATAAAGGTCAAAAGGTCAAAATTGTTTGTATCCAAAGAAAGATCTTGTCACAAAGAATACACTTGTGAAATAAAACAGGCCTAGTGCTAACTGGTCAAAATATTTGATTAAGTTATATATTTTTTAAGTGGGTCAAACTCTGAGGTCAAGTTCAATAGGTAAAAAAAGTCTGTAGCAATGGAAAGGTCATATCATAATAAACACTCCTTTCAAAACCTTACCCTTTACGTGGAAGAGTTATGGGCTAGGTTACTGTTGCCAACTGATTTAAAGCACTTCTCGAGCATATTGTTGCACAAAACTCTTCAAGTTTCTCCTTCACTACTGTTTCTGTCGTTGTAAGGAGTAAAGAAAGAAGCTTGGTTGAGCATTTATTGGCACCTTCTATGTATCTTGTTTGTAAGGATACTTATAAAGTTTCGGAATCCAATGTATGGTAGTTCAAATTCATTTTGGAACTTTGAGATATTAAAAATATTTAAAACCAACATATGACTTTTAAAAATTTCTTCTTTAAAAGGGAACTATAATATGGGTAGTATAAGTTAGAATACCATGTGTAGAAGTAGATTCAAGTTCTTTTAAAACATAATTTACACTGTATATAATGAACTTTACAAAGGAAGACAATGTTGATACCTGCTTTGTCAGACGGGACCAGTAGGTACTGATCTTATTTACAACTTCTGGATTATTGAATTCGGAAGGATAGATGGTTTTTTTTTATTGTACCTCAGTCTTTGAATACGTGATTTAAATATGGAACTGATATATTTAATTTATTCCGACAAAGTGTCAACGTCTTCTTTTTCATATCTGGCCAATCGCCTGGTGTAATCTTCAATAGAATCCATAATATTTATAAAATTTCGACGCCATTTGAAGCATCAGGATCCCCTATATTTTAGACCTATAAAAATCAATGATCGTTAAATATTTTCGATTTAGATTTGTGGCTGAACAACAAATACATAGAGCTGCAAAATGAGCAAAAATACATACTTTGTGATAGGTAATGATCTGTCTTGTAATGTCAGGACTTGTTAGACTTTATTTATTATAGAATGATGTGAACTGTGGAACGATTTAAGCAAGCAGATTTACATCTCCCAAATAAATTTTGTAATTCTTTCGGTGAATTGGACATAAGCATGATGCTGTCAATGACAATTAATTAAGTGCATATTAAAGGGGGGGGGGGCATGTCGTTCTACATCAAAACAGCGTTATGTGACGTAACAATAACAACGTTTAATTGTTTTACCTGTTGACTTTTGCTGCTATGATATAGGCATAACATTGTTAATAATCAATAACGTACACAATTTACAAAAAAATATATTTAAATAACAGTTTTATTTGATTTATGGAGTTTGCTAATATTGGAATTCTCTTCCTTTGGTTGATAATTCATAGCAATTTCAGTTGTGAAGAAATACGATGATATGCTGATATATAAGTGCAAAAATATAAGATAAAATTCAGCAAAGAAAGCGGCTTTAATCAGGAAAATATGTTAAATATGTTTACCATTAATTGTTTTTTTATGGATAAAAACTAAAAAAAAAAAATAAGAAACTTACTTGTACCTATTCTTATTGATTTATAGTACATGTAGATTTAATTGTATCAAGTCATTCCTAGGTTCTAATAGGTGTTGTTTGTTGACGGGAAAATGGGGAGGGGGAGGGCAGAATTTTTGGAATGAAGAAGAAAAGAATTAATCTGTTTAAATTGGTTCTAATTAAAACAAAATACTTGTTTTTCGCAAAATAGTTTTATATTCAGATGTTTGTCAGCGCTAACTTACCTTTTTAGTGCAGAGAGGTCAATATTTATTACACAGGAGTATGAAAATAAAAGAAAACGTCATATTTCTCGTTTATTTAATCATAAAGGTATACATTTTTCTTTGTTAAAATAAAGAAATGAATCATTTCTTTCAAAAAATATGAATTACAACACAAAGACTTTTTAAGAAATTACCTGTTAAGCATGTCGGAATTGTAAAAAAAAAAAATACGACAAGAAAAACGGAGTGATACTCACATTGAGCTCGCATATAATTTTTCATGAAATGTCAAAGTTTTGAAAATTTCACACAGACTTTTCGGACTTAGGTCCCCCCTTCAATGTGGGAACAAGTTTTATGCTGATTGAACTCTTAACCTAGACTTAGTGCTACATGTATATGTATATTTTTATTTTATTTCTGTTTTAATATTTTGGTATAAATACTTTCAAAAGCCCATTTTCTTTTACTTAGAAAACATTGAATTGCTGCACAGGTAAATTCCGGAAATGAAAACAAAATAATGTCGGAAATGAAATTAAAAAAAAAATATCGTCAACTTCCCTTACTTATGCAGCAATATACCTTCATCACCTGCATACGGAGTATTTATATCTCAGTTGATTCGATACGCAAGAGCATGCTCTACGTATGAACAATTTCTTAAACGAGGTAAATTATTGACAAGCAAGTTGATGAAACAAGAATATCAACAGTCTCGTTTAAAGTCATCATTTCGTAAATTCTATGGTCGATACAATGATCTTGTCAGCAAATACAATTTATCATTGAATAAAATGCTGACTGACGTTTTTCATACCAATTGTTAGTCCATTATTTATACACTGAATTGACCACGGATTTTTTCCGTTATTTCCTGATTATGACAACGAGCACACGGCGGGTGTGACCGGTCGGCAGGGGATGCTCACTCCTCCATGGCACCTGATCCCACCTCTGATGTTTTGGAGGTCCGTGTTTGCTCGGCTCTTATTTTGTATATTTGTTTAATTGACGTTGAGATTGAATACTGTTCGTTATTTCCATATCCTTCTTGGAAATGTTATGCATATTTCCGGAAATGAAATGAAGCAGCAATTTTATATCCTTTAACTGCTCCAGGCTAGTTCCTAGTCAGCTGTGTACGTTGAAGCGAGACGTGATTTCTTACATGTAGGTTTTAGTTTTCACAGTTCTGCTGCATTTAATAAACAAAGGAACTTACATGTATCATTTTTTGAAGATTAGGTATAAAAAGTAAGATTTTATGTTGGAATAGGTGGCTTTTTTTCAGCAAATAATCATTTATATACACATAGATACTTTATACATGTAAACAGTGATTACTGAATACTTGTTAGAATTAATATACGATAGGTATATTCTCTTTTTTCCCATTATAAATAAGACTTTTCCATAAATATTTGAAGGAAACAATGGAAAATTTTAAGTTCATTTCATCTTATTTCCCCGTCAATTGTATTTTCTATAATTCAGCTATTTTAATACATTTTTAAAAATTTTAATCTACTTATTCAATCATATAAAATCAATACATTAAAGTGGGTATCCTTTTGTAAAATCCACATATCGGTATAAAATCAAAATAAATCATTCTGACCATTAGCCCAAAACATATATTGTTTTTTGCAAGAGGGAATAGTTGGAATTGAGATTTTTAAAACGTGGAAATAGGTAGAAGACACCATGTATACATTGAATACACAAAGGAGCTAGTCATACACTCTGTTGTATCATAAATCTAAACAAATTCATTTTCGCCACTTTTGAAAAAAATATCACATCGCAGCTCGAGTCCTAGGTAACCCTAGCCTACACTTGTACATATAGCCGTCTCTGTTAAATCGAGCATTCAATTTGCTATTCATCCTCCTACTTTGAGAGCTTGAACCATTGTAAATGTCCTTAACAGATAAGTATAAAATTAAAGATTTTTTTGTAAATTATCAAACATTGTTGTGGTGTCACTCCCTAATATGGCAAAATATTGAAAATGCCAACTAAAAAAATGATTATTTTCTATTTTTGCTATTCAATTTTTTCTTCTCCTTTTCATTTGACATTAATGATAGTTTTAACTATTTCTTATGATTTTTCTTTTGTGTTGTAATTTTGAGTTTGTTTGACGAACGAAATCTCGGTAAGATTTAATTAACAATTAAAATATGGTCCATCAATTGCTTTTTAAGAAGATGTTTACTTCTTGTCTATTATATGGTAAATGAATAGTTAGCACATTTAAGTATAATTTCCCTTACTTGACGGTGTGGAAGTAAAAAGATAAAATTACATAGGGTGTCCTCTGGATTTGAAGCTTATCCCTTGCAATTGAAACATGGCTATTTTCTTTAATTTAAATTCATATTTTTTTTTAGCTAAGAAACATATCAAGAGATCAAATAAAGATGCCCGGAAAACGTTGAGTTTCTTTGACTTTGGGGGCCAGTGTGCGTATTACGCCTGTCACCAGATTTACTTGACCAGGAGAGCTTTCTATGTTGTTGTTGTGGACGCCTCTAAACGTCTTGACCAGAAAGTGGATAGGGAAGTGTGTGACCAGGAAGAAACTGTATTTGCAAACTGGACTTATAAAGGTATTAAATTCGTTAAAATTTGACAAATTCAGAACTGTGCAACAATATATATATCTTCAAGATGTGGTTCAAATCAGATGTGGATACTTAAAATTCCAAGGAACTTTTGAATTGTTTTAAATCACAAGATTTCATCAAAAACAACAGCTGTAAAAATACGAATTTTTAATTCATACACATAACCATTCCCCACGATAAATTAAATTTAAGGCTTTTTGAAATCATTGACAGCTGCTTTTTCAATAAAAAGGAACTTGTAAATTTGTTTACCTTGTCATTGGTCATATGCAAGATTATTTTTTGTTACAACGCATTCTATTTGTACACACAACTACTCTGAAGTTGACATCAAAAAGATGCTTTCTGACTAACAATATCTATGTGGTTTGCGGGGACCAGGTCTTCCAACTATCTTTGTGATTCCCATTGGTATCGATTGTTCCACGTTATTAGCAGACCCATTTTTTGTATTCATGTGAATTAGAGTTTGTGCTAAATCATATACTAGTACGTAAAAAGAAAAAAAAACACTTTCTGTGCCGTTAAAGCCCTTGAGTCGGATGTTCTTTTAAATTATCGGTCATTAGGTTAGGTAGGGCTGAAAAAGGCACCAATGTAATTATCCTTTGACAATTTGCAAATGAACAATACACGTCAACATTGAATCGAGAAGTAATCTTAGTGACTATATACCAGCTGTTAAAATGTCTTTTCTCTGCCCCCGTAAACGAGGTTTCGGGGGTATATATTTTTTGTTGTGTCCGTCTGTCTCTCTGTCTGTCTCTCTGTTTGCCTGTTTGCCAGCAAAAACTTTAACCTTGCCCATAACTTTTGATTTAGTGGAGGTATGACTTTCATATTTCACACGTGTTTTCCTTTTGACAAGACCTTTCTTTGGGTATCACAAAATTTGACCTTTTGACCTTGACCTTGGAGTTTGACCCACTTTTACATGAAAATTTTAAACTTTTACTATGGTCATATCTTTTGAACAGTAGAAACCAGGACATTTAATCTTCATATATGTATTTTTTGTTTAAAGACCTTTCATTGGATACCAACAACCTTAACCCTTTGACCTTGACCTTGTATATATCTGTACCTGTGAAAAAACTTTAACCTTGGTCATATTTTTTTCAACGGTAAGGGATAAGATTTTCATATTTCATATATGCAATTCTTATGAGAAATCCTTTCATTGGATACCAAGAACTTTGACTCTTTGACCTTGACCTTTGAGTTTGATCTACTTTAAAAAAGCAAATCTTTACCTTAACTTTGAAAGGGTTATGACAAGTGCTTTTATATTTTACATGTTGAATCCTTGTGACAAGACTTTTCATTTGATAACGAGATATTTGACCCTTTGACCTTGGAGTTTGACCTACTTTAAAAAAAATTAACCTTGGTCATAACTTCTGAATGGTTTGGATTAGGGCTCTCATACTCTACATAAATATTTTATGTGGCAAAACCTTTCATTGAATACTAATTACCTTGACCTTTTAACCCTGACCTTAAAATTTTTTGTACTTATTGAAAAAAAATTTAACATTTGCCTACTTTCAAATTTCACAATTTTTTTCAAGTGAGAATACCCTACTTTTGGTACCATAAGTTAATTTTGCATTTAAGAAAAGTTTAATCTTTGCTATGTTGCCATATGGGCACATCAGTGTTTCACAAACACATCTTGTTTCCTTAGACGTTGATATAGATTAAAGCGTACCTACTTTGGATAAATAAATGAAATTAAATTATAAAAACGATTATGAAATTCATTTGCAATAATCATTTGAGAAGTTACCCTTGCGGTTTTCTGATAATTTACCTGTTGGTGTGATTTAAATAATAATGAACAGTTTTTTTCTGCTTACAGATTACTTTCTTTTTTGGATGAAATCCATTCACACATATTGTCATGGACATTTATATAACGACAAAGGTAGTGACGTTATTATCATTCTAGTAGCAACACACTGGGAAAAAAGTGTTTACAAGGTACATGTAAAACAACTTCAGATAGTTTTCTTTGCAAGATATTTTTTTTTTAAATAGAAGGTCTCTGTGCATTGGTTTACATTGTTCTTAATTGGTACTTTGAGTATGTAAAGTAAATGCACATGGAGAAAAAGAGCTATTCAGAGAATTCTTACACTTTCGGGAGATTTACGTCATAAAGTGTACATTTTCGTTGTTGCATCTGAATTTAATTACCTTTCAATGATCTTTCTGTTATATTGAGGTCTAAAAACGTGAATTTTACTTGTATTATTGCACGCAAATTATGCTCAAACATTGACTTCAATACCAATTTTTACTCTTACTTTCTTAATTAAATAAGATAATTTATACATCTTTCTGACATTTTATTCTTGCAGGATAAAGCTGATTTCCTTGATAGTTTGCAGAGGGTATTGCCAGCCAATTCTTACCTTGTCCAGTACATCAGAAAAGACAGGTGTTTCTGTACAAATTTATTAAAAGACAAAATTAATGTCCTTGAACAAGCCATCGTAAAGATAGCAGCAGAGAAAACGTGGAGTGAAAATATTCCCTCAGAATGGATTTTATCTGACACATTTCAGAAACAGAAATGTAGACGTGTTATGAATCTTGAGGAAATAAAAAATCTTTTTAAGCATCTTGAAGATGAAAAACAAATACATGATTTGGCAAATGACATGTTGAGATATTACCACGATGCTGGAAAAGTTATTCATTTTGATGAAGATTATCTTAGGAGCTCTGTGATTATTGATGTCCAATGGTTTGTAAATGCATTTAAATTAATTATCACAGACAGGCATCATGTGAAGGGTATTGTTGCTGAGAGACAAGATTGGGAGGAATTCTACAAAACAGGGAATTTAAAAGATTCCCTTCTCAGTGATATATGGAAACTAGAAGATAAAAGACTTTTGGATACCATTAAAGATTCAACTTCATCAGAAATCATAAACATTGTCGAAGATTCTCGCTTTCTAATGCACCACAAAGAAGAATTATTGTTGTACTTGCAGAGATTGGGTTTGATTTCCAGTGAAGGTCAATTACATTATGTTCCTTCAATGAATAAAAGAGACTTTGGAGAAAAACAAAAAGAGATTATCAACCGGTCAAATTCAAAGTCATCAGTACTTGTGTACTTGTTCGACTTTTTGCCTTATTTTTTCTTTTATCGTTTAGTCGTGGCATTGATGCAAATCGAAAATTGGAAAGTTCTGGAAAGTGACGGCATCAGTTGTTTGTACAAAGATGCCGCTATGTTCAATCACAAAAGTCATAATATTGCCATCAGCGTTACTCCATCTACAATTCAGCTTCAAATCTTTCATTCCCTCTCTCAGACGGCAATGCTCCATGAAGTGACTTTGTCTATTCGAGAAAAAGTTGAATCCATATTGCAGAGTATTACCAGATCTTTTCACAAAAGCCTTTCTTACAAAATGGGATATCTATGCGATGGAGATGGAAATCAAATTGTAGGCAAAGAAGTAGCTCACAATTTCATTAAGGAAAGCATGTTGGGAAGTGGAAGCCAGATGGCATGCCCTAAACATCAGGTGGAGGGCTTCCACACAATAAACCCGGCCTATTTGCTGAAATACTGGAGATAAGAGCACTTTTTCCAGTTAAAACAATCTGACGAATCCTGCGTTATACATATATATTTGGCTTATATAATATGATAGACTGATCCCACCTGCAATGTTTTGGATGTCTGTGTTTGATATGTTCCTATTTTCATATTGTTTTATAGGCTTTTGAGCTTGAATAAGTACAGTTCATTATATCAGTATATTTCAGTACTCTACTTAAATATGCTGATAAATTTGTTTATTTTGTTTAAATATTCCTTATATTCGTAAACATGCATGTTTTTCAGATTTCTTGAAAATTATAATTATTGTAGCTTTGTTTGTATCTCGAATAAGTTGTTTTAGAATAAAAATGAATATTTGGAAAAAAAACATGTTTCTGTTTATATTCAAGTCTGAAAAAGGCGTGAACTATTCAAAAGTGGCTCACATGAATTTCATGTGAATTTTTAGAAAAAGAAATAGATGAAAAACATTTTTTTTATATGTAAACTTCTTGTAGTTTTGATATCACTTCCACATGAATTTACAGGATGAGCATATTGCATAAATCTTCACCTGAAAGTTCTAAAAATAATATTTGATTATCATACAAACGTATTCACGTGAAATTCACATGAAAAAAGATAATTTTTACATGAAATTCACATATTTCAGATAATTTTCATGTATAAAGACATCAGTAAATACAATTTATTGAGTCAAATGTTGACTGACGTTTTTTTGTACTAGTTAGTTTATTATTTATACTCTGAATTGACAATTAGTAAACAATTAAACAAAACATCTATTTTTTCTTCAATGTATTTATACGCAACACGTATACATGCAGGTTGACATTTGACCTTTCAGTAGTATATTTCAATATAGAGAAGTTTACATGCCACAAGAATCACGGAGAAATTAACAAGATTCACTTTTGAAGTGTTTATCATAGGGAACACAATTGGACATGGAAATATTTGTCCTTCAAAACCGACATATATAGTAGAAAGGGTGTAATTGTAGCTGATATTTATAAGTCAATATCTCTAGGTTCTAAGCATAAAAGCTAACCAGTCAAATCTATGAAACATTGAATCGGTGTGCTTACTGTTGACCGCTAGTGACCCAATGATAAAACAGCCATGTTCCAGTATAACAGGACAGTCAATGTATGTGGTCATTCTCTCCAAAAAAATAGACACCCTGTCGTCCTGTATAAACTTTTTCTGGATATCTTCTAAAAAATTAAAGATATACCATGATATACAGTGGACCCTCATTTATCTGGACGTTTTGGTTCCCAGTCAATTTGTCCGGATATGTGAAGCATCCGGATATCTGAATCACCAGTTAAACAAGACAGAATAACATTTAAAAATTTCGTTCCGATGAAAATCGTCCGGATACTGAAGCATCCGGATATCTGGCGTCCGGATATCTGAAGGTCCACTGTATTTCTTTTATATAGTGTTTTATCCGTGTATGAATTTATCCTTATATGTCTATCTTTAACGAGAAGATGCTTATTCCTAACTTGAAATAAAGATATAATGTTATTGTGATTTACCCTCAGATCTATTTCGATTCAGTGATGGTCACTGTGATAATTCCTTCGTTGTCCGATTCAGGGGTAGGAAGCTAAAAATAACTTTCTAAATCTCTTTCACATTTATTTGAAAGAAAGTTGGCACACTAGAAAAACAGTCGAGAGGAATCATTGACATGAAATATTTTCAGATTTAATTTTCCAAGCAACACGTTGTTCTTCTACATCTTATACAATCAACCCAGATACTTCTTTGGAATGGATTTCTAGATTAATGAAACTAATTAGAATGAAATTCGGTACACACATACCCATACACAAGGTCTATAAATAGCATATGCTGAATAAAGTTTCTCTCCTTGTTTGTGACGTCACAAAGTGAAAATGACGTAACAATTAGGTCACCTGTGACGAAAAATGGCTGTCTCAGTCGAACTCGTTCAACAAACGACTGTACAATTTATTGTAATATCTTAAAAATCCCTCTACAGTATCATATTATAATTTGTACACAGTTTAGTGAGATAAATGAGTTCCTATAAATTCAATTAATGATTGGATTAATCGTTTTAGTGAAGGAAGACTGCTGGTTAAATATGATACTTGTCATCTTGCCCAGTGAAAGCAAGTTTGAAAAGATATGTATTTTTAATTATGCGATTTGCTATAAGAGACCTCCAATTAACACTTTGAAAAATAGTTGAATATTTGAACAATGATATAAGTATTAAATACCTAAGATATCGTTTACTTTAAATTTTAAACATATTAGATATGATAAAAAGGATGCAACCATTCTCTATCCACCTTGAATAAAGGTCTCTCCTGAGACAGAAGATTTGTGTTTTAATGGTCGCCATGCTTATTTTTGGAAAGGATGTTATTATCCACCAATTCTGTTGCCGAGATTTGACCATTTCTGACAAATGAACTGTTCTTGTCATAAAAATTAACTCACATGGAAAGAAATATAAAACTCGGAAAAATCTTTTTGTGACAGAACGCTACGGAGGGGGTCACGTGACCGACAATATCACGTGATTCTCGCATGCGCAGAACGGTTGTTGATGTGCATTAAAATCGGGGATGATTAATTAAGGAATGACTCTAATTCTTGGCCAGATTATTTGACAAAACCTGCTTCGCGGATTATTAAGCGTAAACTGACCCAAACCATATTATACTCGATAATCTGGCCAAGAATTAGAGTCATTCCTTATAATTTAATTTTAAAATAATTAAACAACTGGGGGTGTAAAATTGTGTGTTTTTATGAGTTCAAATTTACCGCGCAATAATACAACCGTAGTAACGGAAGTGATGGGAAGCGAGGGGAGGTAAAAACTGATAAATAGATCTAGCAGCCGTGATGCTTGTTTACACGAGGTAAGATCGAGCTACTGTTTGAAGTTAAAGGTACATTTATTAAATCTGGAATTTTCCATGAATCCCAAGGACTGGAAATGAGGGGATTGATGGATACAGATGATTCAGCTGGTTGTCAAGGGGGTGTGTCCCCATACCAAACCAGATTATACAAAATGTTATGCGTTCCTTTTTGGAAATCAACCAATGAGAGGCAAGAATACAAACAAAATTAAATTATTTTAAATATAATCAACATTAAAACCAAATATTGTTTCTTGTATGGAAGTTATTCAATTAGTTTGCGAACTTTTTGATCACCCCTCGTAATCTGGCATTTGATTGTTTAAAACCTTAAATAGAAAAATGACCAGTCTAAACATAAAAAAATCCTTGATTGGCATCCAGTTTAAACAGGAAAATAAAAAGGTAGTAGGAATTAAAATATCTCGAATATTTAAGAGTATCCTAGCTGCCCTATTTTGAAGTTCGTACAACTTTTCTAAAAACATTTGATTTTTCACATTGCACCAAACAGTGGAACAGTAAGTAAAATGCGAAAATACAATACTATCAAAATCCTTAATTAAAGCATTCGGTGGCGTAAAATAAATCACTCTCTTAAGCACAGCAAGTTTTCTTACAATTTTCTTTGAAATAAAGTCAACATGAACATCCCAAGTTAGGTATTATCAATATAAACACAAAGTAATTTGGCCTGCTTCACAAATTCAATTTGAACATAATTAAAATTTATGATAAGATTTCTACATTTTTGCAACCTTTTGGATGTGCCAATAAGCATGCACTGCGTTTTTTTTTTGGAGATTTATACTGAGCTTATTTTTTTATCGTCCATTGAATTCCTAAATCTAGATCTTCTTGAAGTTTTTTCTCAAAAACGTCTATGCATTTATCGCTTACATCCTGCGAGGTGTCATCTGCGTACATTGTGACTGACGAGTGTTTAAGACATTTTGAGTAGTCATTAATATATAAAATAAAAAATAACGGTCCTACAATTGACCCTTGAGGGACACCTAAGGATATTTCTTTTTCTCATAAAAACATGACGCTCAATAATTTTGCTAATGACTGGCAAAATAGATACGGGTCTGTAATTGTTTACTAGATTTTCATCACCAGCTTTGTACAATGGAACTATACTCTTGCTCTTTTCCATGCATCAACAAATGTACACGATGATATCGATTCATTAAAAATAAAATGTAATATATCACCTATATGATTAAAAGACATGTTTTTAAGTTTTACATACAAACTATCAATACCCGTGGCTTTCAAAGATGACATTTTAACAATTTCATTTGCAATAAATTCAATCGTGATTTCTTGAATTCTAAATGAACCTGGCGGTTTAAGTTGTTCTACTTCCGGTAAAGAGGAATCAAACTGTTTCCCTATTTTATATCCAATGCTACAGAAAAAATCATTGAAATAGTTAGCCATAGATTCAAAAGATGTTAAAGTTCCACTCTCCGTTTGTAATTGTGTACATGTTGAAGAATTTTGCTTTGATGGTAGAAATTGTTTTATTCTAGACCACATATCTTATTTCGATTGGTACATTGATCCATTGCTTCTTCTACAAAGTCCCGTTTCGCATCTCTGATCTTGAGAGTAACACGGTTTCGACTGGCCTTATAAAGATCCCAGTCCTCCGCTGATTTCGTTTGTAGTGCTTTTTCGTGTAGATAATCGCGATTGTGCATTTCAGTTAAAATTTCATCATTTATCCATTCCTCTGACTTAACATTTATCCGCCGTTGTTTAAAAGGTAAATGCTTGTCAATGACTTTGAAAAATTTTGCATTAAAAACATCCCACATTTGATATACTTCACCACACTTCTTATTTTCATTCTAATCAACCTCACCGAGATCTTTGTGAAATTGGCCTTCATCGAAATCCCGAAAACTACGAAATTTTATGTTAACATGACTGTTTGTGCCGCTCTTTATTTTTCCTCGAACAGCATAGATTAAATGATGATCGCTTATACCCATATGTATTACGCCAGATTTGCATATATCCTTAGGCTCAGACACATATATATGATCAATGAGGGTGCTGGAGTCTTTTGTTACTCTAGTGGCCTCTTTAATTATTTGAGACAGTCCCTGCGTTTTCATAATATTTTTAAGATTTGAGTTTCTATTTTCGTCCACATTAAAATCACCCATGAATATAACGTTGTTATTAGAAGTTGTTGTCGCCTCTACATATTTCTCAAAATGTTCAAGCCATTCACATTTGGAATTGGGTGGTCGATAAACCATTATGCATGTAAGTTTAGGAGAATTTCCTATTTTTAAGCAAAAAT